ATCAGTGAGGCCAGGCATTCGCCAGATGTTGAAGCCAAAGACATCCAACTACACTGATCATTACAGCTTTCAATCACCTCATTTAGAATTTACAACAAACTGAGCAGAAAGCCATTATTCCACCTTCAGTATAAAGTTTTTCCTCAGGCTACAAGCCAAGTTCAGCAGTGGACTAACGCACCATCTGCTCCAAGTTCACACCACCCTTTTGCAGGCCTTTCTCCGATGCAACAGCTCCCAGGTGGAGTCCAGGAATAGACAGTGTCACTTGTTGTTACCACTTGGGGACTATCAAAATCCCTAAGGGTTTCTAGTATCTCCTAGAAAAGGACTTAGACTGCAATTAAATGAAATAATAACAAATCATAATATAAGGCATAAAATGAACAAACATTATGAATTAATCATACTTAGACAATTACAACCCATATGGCTTGTTAAACTCAATCTGCTACCTGTAGTGACATCGATTGCATACTACATAGTCAATGCTGCAGCTCTTTCCCCCCAGGAAGTAATTACTTAATTTTGTGAATGAGAAAATGAGATATAAAAGGCAATGTGCTCACCATTTAGTGTCTGCTTACGTTGTCCACATCAGATCAAAGGCACACCTGCCATTCATGGCTCAAGAGACTGCCGCTTGTCCTTTTGAAGACAGCAGTACCCTCAGAGACAAATGTTCTTGTTCTCCTTCTGTCCTGGTCTGTCCTTTTCACCCTCTCTATTTCAAGTTATCTACAGCAAGAAGTTGGAAGAGCGGACAATCCGCGCACTTTAACTGGTGAGGGGATGGCGATACAATTCTCCTGTCTCATTTGGCGCTATTGTCAAAGGACACTAGTTCACTGGAGAAAGGAGGCCGTGCGACTTGTCTCATAAAATCAGTGTTGTGACCCTGTGACTTTCCCATTTACCCAGGCTGCTGCTGATCTTCAGCAAATTCTATAATTTACCTGCATATGTGTTTCATTATCCATAAAACGGCTACAACAATATTATCTACCTGTGCAGGACCTGAAAGAATCGAATAAAATGAAGTTTGCTCCACGAAAGGCTTAACACACAGCTAGTTAGTGTTCATGAAACATGAACATCTTTTCTGAAAATACCACTGGGACTTTAATCCTGCAAGCAAAAATTTAAGATAGAAACAAGGAGTTGCTAGAATGTTCTTAACTCTGGAAGGAGGTGGGCTGTCGACCCCCCTACAGTGAAAATGACATGAGAAAGGTTAGAAGATGGCTCTGGCTCAGACCCAGCCTAGAGGTTCGTTGTAGTCCAAAATCACATTGTCACTCAACACTAGGAAAAGCCCAGAGAACTCCACAGTGCACCTGGAGCTCACTGACCTATGCTCAGAGGCTGGGGACAAAGGGCCCACCAAGCTGGACTTCCCTAAGTAACTCCAACAAACCATCCATAGGAGAAGCTGCCTGTGACTCTCAGCAGGAAGGGTCAAGTGCTTCCTCTCTGTCCCCAAGGTCAGACCTGCCCACCCACTGCCATTGCGCCCCAGCCCAGCAGCCCATTCCCAATATATGTGCAACAAGGATGGGACCAGATCTGCCGTGAGATCAGAAGGGGTGGGATGAACTGCAAGCCTCTCCACTGGGGTGGCATAGTAAGTCTTCAAGAATAAGCCTTAATTAAGCAATTTCCACAATGCCCCAGAAGAAGAATCATGTGAAGCCTGTTTTACCACTTATCCTTTTATAATCAGGTACTGGGATAGAAAAAAATTCCTAGGTTAGCTCTTTGGGCCAACTTCGATTACAGCAATGACCTCGTTGTGTTCTAATTAGTTGTTTACACCTGTTGGGGAGCCCAGAGGATAAAGCAAGCCCAAACTAGGGGAGGGGATGTGGGTTAGAATGGAGGGGAATTCCTCTAGGAGCGGGTAGAGCCCGAATATCCTGAATCCTAATGCTCACTGTCTAAAGAGGCTCTGCTTCCCCGCAGCCCACCCTTGCAGAATCCCCTGAAGCACACTAACTTAACGTTTGAACATAATTTTGCTAAGAACTTGGAGAGGGGGGAAAAACAGGAAGTGGGAGAGATGACTTCCTGGAGCCTCGGTTTGTATGTTGGCTTCTTCTTTCCAAACCCTGAGTAGGACCTTTAGCCCTCCGATTCTCATTTGGGGAGGATTAAATGTGAAAAACTTAGCCTGTAGTCTGTACGTGCTAGGGACTAAGGTTGTTAGCTTTAGGTGCATGACTTTGCTTGCTTTCTGTACGGCTTATTCTTCTTATTCACCTGATCGAAGCTGTGCCGGTTCTCATCCGGATTCTTAACATGGCTCCTAGCTCTCCTTTTAATTTTCTTTATTCATCACCTGGACTCTGCTCATCAGAGCAGTCACCATGACTGCATACATTGCCTTTTGCTGTTGTACAGAATTACCAAATATTAGTTGCTTGAACACACACAGCTTTTCTATCTTGTAGTTCTAGAGGTTGTGCACTCCAAACGGATCTCCTTGGTCTGAAATGGAGCTGTGAGCAGAGCTGTACTCCATCTGGAGGTTCTGAGCCCATGTATTGCTTTTTCTTCTCCCTCTCCTGGGTGGATGCTTCCCTTCCTCCATTGTCAAAGCCAGGGATACAGACTGAGCCTTCTCCACTTCTCCACTTCACTCTCACTTGCCTCTTCCACTTAAAAGAGCCCTTGTGATTCCACTAGGGCTACCCCGATAACCCCGGGAAGTCTCCCCATTCCAGGGCCAGCTGTTCAGGAGGCTTGTTTTACTTGCAGCCTTAATTCCCCTCTACATGGTTATACAACACACCCAGAATCAGGAGTGAGGGCTTGAATCTCTCTGGGTGGGGGGGACGGTTCTGCTTGGCAGAGTGAGCCACTGAGGCAGAGGCAGCCTGCACGCCCTCTGCCCAAAGCTCTGCGCTCAGCGCTTCCACTTCCTCACCACGGCTGGCCGGCTGGTCAGACCTAACGCTCCTTGCATTCGCTCAGGGCTGCTCCCTGCTGCGGCTGCCTCACTCATTCTGCTCAGACCCAGGGCTTCCTGAACTTCCCTGTTGAACCCTCCAGGCAAGCAGCCACTTCAGGATGTTTGCACTGGAAAAAGCACATATCTCACACACACACACACACACACACACACACACACACACACACACGGCAAACAAGTATGTGGAAATATACTCAACATCATAAAGTCAACAAAGAAATAACTTCACTAAAACTATGACCCAACATGGATGGTCTAAAATGAAAAAGACAGAAACTCTCAAGCCTTGGCAAGGATGTGAAGCTGTGAGGACCCCCGCACATTGCTAGGGGAGTAACTTGTTATAATTACTTTCGAAACTTTTAGCAGCATTTAGTACAGCTCAATATACCTCCTCATGTCACAGTTGTTTATTAATCACCATTCTGCATAGAGTGAGTGAGAGGCAGGCATTACGTGGTCCACAGCCAGTCCTGCAACAGCACTCAGTGGAGATCCACTGTAAGAGTGAGGGAAAGCATCTCGGAGCATCCTTTAGGTAGTCCTGACAGGCCCATCCTGGCTCACCCACCCCCGATGACTAGGATCCTCCTATTACCAGCTGCATTGTCAGCTTTGACATTGCTGAAAGACAACACTCAACTCCCAAAATTTAAAAAAGAGAGGAGGTTTACTTTGGCTCATGGTTTCAGGGGATTAAGCACATGGTCAGAGCTCTAAGACACAGACATCACGGCAGAAGAACATTGTAGAGCAAACCTGTTTAGTTTGTGGCCTCAAGGAAGCAGAATGCGAAGGCAGCACTAGAGAAGAAGGGGTGGGGTGCAGACACAGTACCAAGATCGTCCTCCATGACTCACACAGATACACACCCACAAGCGTATTCTCTACCCTTCCTCTGGACAACTCCCAAGGCAATCAAGTCGGCATAATCAAACTTAACCATGCACCAACTTCTGATGTTCTATGATAGATGTCTTAAATAATTTCTCAGGTTTCCTTACCATGCACTTTCTTCCCCTATAAGCCACCAAACCCTGATTTTGCTTCTGAGTTTGCTCAGCTCCCAGAATAGGCCTCCCAGAAGCTCTGTGGCTGGGCAAATGGGCAAATAAAGGGGTGCTCAAGAGAGAGGCCACAGTAGAGGGTTGCCTAAGCTTCATGGGCTCTTGGCCTTTCCTCGAACACTGAAGCGCCTCACAGCCCAGTTCTAGAAGCCTCCAGATTGTGTCTCCCCCATGCTCCTGTTCATGAGCTCCCTGTAACCTAGTGGTGACTGTCATTTTCTCTCCCCACTACTCTGCCCAGCTCTTCTCCAGGCAGGGCTCTTCCCTTTGCAAAACTCCATGTCCACAACTGATCCACTGCTGCTCCCAAGCCCCCCACCCATGAGCCCCTTCTGTCAAATGCCACACCATTCCCCCAGACCCTATCACCATCAACAACAACCTGTGGGATCCCAGGTCAAACCAGCACCACAGCCTTTGTACTTCTCCAAGCAATGAAGTCATTCCTCTCTCCTACAAGAGTCAGGTGCCACACCCTTTGTGCAGTACTTTGTCACCTCCCCCCATGCAATATCTGCCTGTGCCACCTAGCTACAGGTTCGGTCATGAGCCTGTGCCACCATCCCCATCCCTAACCCTCTAGCTCAGTGTCATACAACTAAAGCCCTGGTATCATTAAGTAACAGCTAAGGGTGTCAATCACTTAATCAGCTAATCATGGGCACAATGCTAGGAGACTCATATTATTATTGTCTCCATTTGACAGATAGGGAAACTAAAGCCTGGAGAAGATGAAAGGGATTAGGTGAAGTTGTACAGCCAGGAATTTCATCTTCTCCAGGCTTTAGTTTCCTCATCTATCACAGTCAGCAACAACTGTGGAAGTGGAAGAGAAGACAATACCGGCTCAGTGTAAATTTGACTATTAGGCTCTGTGCTAAGCAGGCTAGAGCTAATGTGCCATTTAGACCTCAAAATAACTAAGAATGGTTACAGTCTTTTCTACCGAAATAAAGAATTTGGTGCTTGCTTCGGCAGCACATATACTAAAATTGGAATGACCCAGAGATTAGCATGGCTCCTGCGCAAGGATGACACATGAATTCATGAAGCGTTCCATATCTTTGTATAAAAAGTAAAGCCATATTAATATGCTGAGCTGTAAAAGGCCCAAGTCAACAACTTCTGACATTGCCCGTCTTATGGAAAACCTATTACTATTATGGACTACCGGACTATATTAGAATATTTCGCTGAATTCACACACCTACAATATTTAAATGACAATGGAATGCCCTTCTCTGACAAAACTAACCAACAAAGGGGGATACAAATGAACAACCATTTTGTATCTGTATACTCAAAATAGTTAGGATAGATGTACAGCTCCATTCTCTTAATTCAATGAATAGAGAGATTTGTTCTAATAGTGTTTGTGGATAGGATATCATGTCTGCATCTTGTACAATGAAAAACCAATAAGACAACAATATGCAATGTATTGATTTTTGAAACTGTGCTAACAATCAGTTCTGAAACTCTCTCCTTGCTATTTGTTTCTCAATAAAATCATTTAAAAAATTTTTGAAGTTGAGAAAAGAAAAAGGTGCTGCCCAAGATCATGTAGCTCTTAAGTAGTGAAGTCAGATTTCAAACTCAAGCACTGTGGCTGTGGACCTCAGAACGGTCACCTCTGGTCCACATAGCCCCTGCCTCTGGAAGTCCACGGGGGGGGGGCCACAGAAGCAGTGGCAGAACACCAACAATGTCTGAACACTTCCAATTCCCAACTGTGGCCACAGCTTAGTTTGGAAGTTCTACAACACCAGGAAATATTCTATATTAAAACAACAAAATAACAGTGTTCTCTGTGTTGCCATGGAGATTATAACCTTTAAGTGCCCCTAAAAGCCTCTAAGGTCACTAAAATGTCTTATTTTTCTGTAGTTAAGAAAGTAACAATACTACAACTAAAATTACACGACAGCTACCAAAAATTTGCAAAAGGTGAGAAAGGATCCCACTTGTCTTTCATTGGCATTCTGCCCTGATTCCACGGAACATAACTTCTGCAGTGGCTGCTCCAAAGGGAGAGGCGTCTTTCCAGACTGAATATGTGCACTTTATTGCCAGTTCCCAGGAAGGAGAGAGATTTGCTTCCTGTTCACAACTCTACACTCAGGAAGAGGCTATAAAGCATGTTTCTACCTTCTGAGAATACGATAGGGAGGAGCCGGTCGTGTGATAACCAGCCAACGCGTTCCATTCAGATACTACTCCTTGCAACTAGACATGTTTGAAGTTTGATACAATGTCACTGATAGGACATTGAGTTTTCAAATAAATTTGATAAGAACCCACACCTGTCACCTGCTAAGAAAGCAATAGTCAACAAAGCACATGGAGATAGATAACTTCCTGGCAAATAGCCCAGAACCAGAAAGATTCTTGTCCAGTAGATGATTTCCCATGAAACCTCAATTCTTAGACTCACCTAAACTGTCAAATCACTTCTGTATGGCAAAATACAGCAAGCATTTGTAAAAGCAAACTCCCAACTCTCATTGCTTTATAGATGCCAATGGAAGTAAATAACTAGAAAATACTACATTATTGCCTAACATAGATCCTACAATCAGTGGCTAAAGAAGTGTCCTAATTTAATCCTCTTTCAAAGTAAAACATTCAAAATAATGGAATGTCATGTAGCACATTGCTTAAAGAATCTCATGTGTTGTGATGCCCTGGAATCCAAAAAATAAGGCTGTCCATTTCCACGCTACACCATCCCCTCATGCCTGCTGTGCCTCCAGTTTAGTTGCATCCCCAAAGCCTTACACAGTCATAGGTGGCTTCTGGAGTTTGTGATTTTTTTTTTTTTTTCGGAACTAGGGATTGAACTCAGGCCCTTGTGCTTGCCAGGCAAGTGCTTATTCTACTGAGCCATATCCCCAGCCCTTGTGCCTCCAGTTTAGATATAAATCATATACATATACATATACATCTATATCTACATATCTATATAGATATATATATATATATATATAGCATCAAGTAAATTTTTAAAAGTTTATGATTGATCAAAAACTGATGAAAAAAATTAAATAATTATGAATTTAAAGATAAAATATAGAATTTTATCTTCAACACTTTTCGGAAAGAACAGGTCATACTGCACACGTGCCTACAAATGGCCCTTTACCTATTATTATATAGAGACAGAGTCTTCCTAAGGAGTCCATTGCTGATACACAGGATTCTGATGGAAAGTCAGGATTCTGATATTCCTTCAGTGGTAATTTGGGTGCTATTATTTCAGCAATTTCAACAACCATTATTTAAAAAACAATAAACTATTATTCTGAAATTTTATAATAAAAAGAAAGATTTCAGCTTTTAATCTGTTTTTATTACATGAACTATATTCAGAATAGCCAACTAGTGCTATTTGATGAAAGCTTTTTAACAGAATTCCAGCTAATATGTAATAAAAGAAAACATCACTTTGTAACCCTTAATGTAATAATTAAGGCAACAAATATCAATAGGTGCTAAGAATGGAAAACTGATACATCACTAGATGCTTTCCTCAGATAACTTCTAGCCCTAAGTGGAAAATCACATCATGAGGGAAGAATCAGTCTGGCTATCACCAGCTGAACTTGCAGGCTGACAGTGACACTGCTGAGCCCAGATGGTCGCAGCACCGCTTGCCTCTTGCTATGATGCAATATGAAGAGAAGTCTTTAAAACTTGCCCCCAAGAATATGAAACTTCTCAGGCTGGAAAGAAATACAAATGATAGAGTGATAAATGCAAAGACAGGATGAGGATGACATCAGCCCACTCCAGAGTGGGGACCATCCCTAAGGGCAGCTGGCCTCCTGAGGACAGGCCCAGGCAGGGTGGAAGTGGAGAACTGCCTAGGCTTAGAGACGTGAAAGATAAATGGGAGAGTCTCGCGGGGGAGCCCAGTCTAAACAAAGAACTAAAACTGGAAAGACAAGTGAAAAAAGTTGACTATAGACAAGGTACTAACCAATCCTAAGGAATTATCATGAAGTATCATCAAAGCATTGCGATTTTATAAGATAGTACTTTCTTGGTTTAGAGATGCGTATTGAAGTATTTGTCACTATGTCTGGAATTTGTAGTCAAATTTTTCATCAGACATGTCATTTCTAATTGTTTTTACTATTATTTATTTGCCTTTAAAAATAAAAAAATAAAGAAGATTGGAAAAATTTAAATATGAAAAATGTGAAAAGCTGCCAAGGAGTGAACCTGTGAGGATCCATTACCTGCTTCTACTCCTTCAATGTATGTTTGAATTTCTTTACAGTAAAACATTTCAAAAACTGGACTGAATTCCACTTTCATTTCTTAAGGTTGAAGGAATAAGAAATGCTGGAGTAAAACTTTTTAAATAAAATGGGAAAGCCTTAGACCCCACTTTACTCCTGACCCTGAAATTCCACTTTCAAAGAATCTTTTCTGCCTTTCAAGTTCATTAATGATATGAACACTACTAAAACGGAGTCATAAAATTTATAGATATTCCTGAAACACGTAGTTTTTATCTCAGAATTTTTATAAAGAATAATTGTCCTCTCTAGCTGGCCAGTAGATCATTGGCAAAATGAAAAATGCACACGTACTGAGCCATTAGAAAAATCTAAAATTATACTCAATTCTCACCCAAAATGAGCTTTTAAGTTCTCTGAAAGTTTAATACTTCCCACACATCAGAGACTAAGAGTTATAAATATATCCGCTGTAACTGTCAGTGCTTTAGTTTTGCAGATGTTTAAAACTAAATATTTTAAACAGGAGACAAAAATAACATTAGCTAGTTGATAGGTTAAATTTTGTGTCTAATTTTTTTAAAGTATGCATGGAAGAAGTTGCCAAGGCTTTACCTTATGAAATGTGTGTTCATAATTCAACAAGAACTTTTATTTCACTTTCCTTTAATGTGCATGATTGCTCTAATGTAAGTCCTTAGATACTTCCCTCAGCTCAAGGGGTGCTGATCTAGGTGTTGGTCTTTATTTTGAAATAAATACAGGAAGTAGAGCCTACTGATACACTAACAGTGTGACTGAGAATTTTCCTTTTGTGTTTTAGTTTCCCTTTGAAGTACCGATAAAAATGCTTACCGTGGTACACAGTCCCAGAACACAGCAGGAAATAGGGGTGATAGATTAGATTTACTGGGAAGCAATTCTTCAAAAAATGAAAGGAAAATAGAAATACAAATAAGCAGGCAGAATTAGTTATTCTATAAACCAGCTTTAAACTCAATCCATACAACTGATGGTACCTATTAAAAATAAATGTAAACCCCACTTTCACAGGAAATAGGACTGAAAAGCAACAATTGGGATCATGTCAAATCAAAAAGCTTCTGTACAGCAAAAGAAACAACCAACAGAATAGGAAACAAATTTGCCAGTGATTCCTCAGGTAGAGGACTAATGTCTAGAATACACAAAGAACTCAGAAAATTAGACTTCTCCCCATATAAAAGACCCAAGCAAAAATTGGGCAAGTAAAATCCAGAGACACTTCACAGAAAAGGTAAAAAATGGGCAATAAATACAGGAAGGAAAGCTCACCATCAGAGGCCACTGGAGAAATGCAAATTGAAACAAGGCTGGGATTCCATCTTGCCCCAGAAAGAACAGCCACCAAGAAATCAAATGCTGGAGAGGCCAGGATAGAGGGGATAGAACTCTTCTACACTGTTGGTAGAAATGTAAACTGGTACAACCACTGTGGAAATCAGTGTGAAGATTCCTCAAAAAACTAGAACTAGAAATTTCATTTGACCTAGATATTCCCTTCTAGGTATCTTCCCCAAAGAGTTAAATATATCACATCTTAGCAATATATGCATTCCCACATACGCAGCTACCCAACTCATAGTAGCTAAATCTTGGAAACAGTCTATATGTCCGTCGAAGGATGAATTCATAAAGAAAATTCATTTATGCACAATGGATTACTTGGATAAAAACTTGAGGCATTTATAGGAAAATGGATATATCTTGAGACCATCATGTTAAGTGAAATAAATCAGACACACAAACTTAAATATTTCATAGGTTCTCTTGTATGACAAAC